TTCACCAAAGAAGACATTCAGGTAGCCAACATGTGAAGAAATATTCATGATCATTGACCATTAGAGAGATGCAAATCAAAACAATGAGATATCATCTCACACCAGCATTAATAGCAAAGTTAAAAAAAACCAAAAACAGAAAATGCAAATACTGGCAAAGGTATGGAGAGTCTGGGACCCTCCTACATTGCTGGTGGGACTGTTAAATGGTCCAACCACTCTGAGAAAACTTTCACTTTCTCAGAAAGTTGGAAATAGAAATACCTCATGACCCAGTAATTTCTCTACTTGGTATATATCCACAAGAAATACAAGCCATAGCACGAGTAGATATATGCACACCAATGTTCATAGCAGCACTATTCACAACAGCAAAAAGATGGAGATCGCTATGAGTTGGAACTGACTCAAGGACTAAGACTGACTACGAAGAAAGACCTGGCTATCTACTCCTAAAACTCAGCCAACGAAACCCTATAGATCACAACGATTCTATTTACAGTCGATCATGGAGATGGCATAGGACCATGTTTGGTTCCTTCGTGCGTGAACAATGGCAGCTTGCAACAACAAAACCAACAAAAAGTTAAGAGATGCATCTATTATCCTAATGTTACAAAGTGCCCCAGTAGTAGAAATGTGATGGGAATTCAAGGTCCATGCTCCTTCAGGCCTGGCCCTTGGCTACCTGAGGGGCTCCTGGCCTCTTGGTCACATTCCACAGCTTAACAAGTGTCAGTGATGAAAACAGACACCAGCCTTCCCAGTGCCAGCAGCGGCTTTGTTTTGACAAAGGCAATTTTAGTCTAAGTGACTTGTGCTAGCACTTGAGGCGCTCCTCACAGTATGAACTTGCCAAGGACCTCTGCCCCAGCTTCCCAGGGCCCTCCAGAGTAGGGTATCATTTCTGTGACCGTGGGCTAGGGTGGTGAGAATGTGTCTCTCCCTCGGTGCACATCTGTGGCATGGGTAGTCCCAGTCAGCAGAGGATTTCTAATGGTCTGGAATGCATTGGATGATTGGTAACAGACTTCCTTTCTTAATTATTTTTGGTTCAGTTGAGGTCAGATCAGTCTGTATTCCTTGTGTACATATCAGCTGCCTGGAATGACCATGGTTAGACAAACCAGTCAGTCCTTGATGCTTCTTTCTGCCCATCCTGCTCTAAACCAAATGTTTACCTAATACCTGCCGTTTGTTAGGCACAGTGCTAGGTGCTGGAGACTTTGTGAGATGTGGTCCCAGAGCCGAGAGGTACCTGGCTGATTCTGTGGAAGTAATTAACCATGGATAACTCTTATAATTTAACAGACAAGAATTGGAAACCAAGTGATACAACTTTTTGAACATCTCTACCCTTCGCTCATGTAAGGAGCTCTGGTAACGTAGTAGTGACAAATTGGGCTGCGAACCTCACGGTCAGCAGTTCGAAACTACCAGCTGTTCCATGGGAAAAAGAGGAGGCTTTCTGCTCCCGTAAAGATTTACAGCCTCGGAAACCCTGTACAGGGTCACTATGGGTCGGAACTAACTCCATGGCACATAACAACTACAACAACCATTCGCTCAAGCATGGCAACAATTGTGAGGCTGGCTCAGGATTGGGCAGTGTTTCATTCTGTTGTGTATAAGGTTGCTGTGAGTTGGTACTGACTCAATGGCACCTAACAATAACAACAACCCTTCTCTCAGAGGAACTCCTGGTGTGGCGCTGTGGGTTAATGTGCTGGATAGCAAAGTCGGTTTGAACCACAAGGTTGGCAGTTCAAGTGCAGCAGCCACTCCTAGGAAGCCCTATTCAGGGTCGCTGTGGTTGGAACTGACTCAACAGCACTTAACAACAACAACAACTCTTCTCTACTTCTCAGGGTTCAAGTTGTTTGAGTTCAAAGGTGGTATTTGTTGTTGTTGTCGTCAGGTGCCATCGAGTCAGAACCGACTCATAGCGACCCCATGCACAGCAGAACGAAACAATGACCAATTCTGGGCCAACCTCACTACCACCGCCACACTTGACGCCATCAATGATGCCACCTGGCTGATCATCTCCTTGGGGGTTCTCCTCTCTTTCTCTGACCCTCCACCTTACCCAGCATGACATCCTTCTCCAGCGACTGTTCTCTCCGGACAATGTGTCCAAAGTATGAGAGACGAAGCCTAGCCATCATGGCCTCCAAGGAGCACTCTGGTTGCACTTCTTCCAAAACAGATCTATTGGTTCTTTTGGCAATCCATGGCACTTTCAGTATTCTCCTCCAACACCACAACTCAAAGGCATCAATTCTTCTACGATCTTCCTTATTCACTGTCCAGCTTTCACATCCATATGAGGTTATTGAAAATACCATGGCCTGGGTCAGGCGCACCTTAGTCCTCAAGCTGACATCCCCTAATTCCTGCTGTAGCTGTGACCCATGCCGCATGCCACAACATGGACCAGCCTCGAAAGCATCAAATACTGTATGATCTCACTTACATGAAATAAGCACACATATAGAAACCAAAGATTACTAGTGGTGACCTGGGGTGGGAGGGAGAAGTCATTGCTTAGCGGGCAGTGAGTTTATGTTAACGGTGGTAGACGATTTGGAAAAGGATAGCACGAATGGTTACACAACTTGAAGAATGTAATCAAGGCCACTGAATTGCACATGTAGAAAGTTTGTTATGTATGTCTCCAGCAGAATGAAAATGAAAACCCTGTTGACAAACTCAGATTTTCCAAGGCTGGCAGTAAGTGATTTGTTTTGGATTGGGATTATCACTTACGAAGGGTGCACCTTTACAGGAAGACTTTTGAGGAGTAGTTCTGTTGTCACTTCAGGTCTAGGTTTACCTCCCGAACCACCTGCTCTGGGGTCCTCAGTGGTTTTGGTGGTGGGGAGCCATGTGCTGATTTTCTCTGTGGTGTTCACGCTCCATCCTTCCAGGTGGTACACATAGCCAGGAAGGGAGAACATACGGTGTTGTTGGCAAGGATTCCATGCCGGTCCGTCTTTCTGGGGGCTTGGGGCTCTTTCCATCAAATCCCAGCTCTGGGAGGGGGTGAGAAAACACACTGCTCTTTTTTCTTACAGGGTGCTATTAGGGTGGGGACACTGTGCTGGGGCTGATAGTTTCCCTGTCATGTTCCCGGAAAATATCCTGCTCCCAGGTGCTTGGAAAGCAGTGAGGAGAGGTAGCTGGGGGTGGGGATGGGGTGGGTGTCTTCTCTTTGGTGGTCAGGTCCTGAAGAGCCAGGACCAGGACCCTCTACTAGATAATGTGGGGGTAAATTGAGGCAAGAGAAACAATATGGGGGCACCAGGCCAGAGAAGATGAAGGCCCCAGCACATGAACCACAGCATGCCAACACCTTGCAAAGGAATGCTGGTGAAAGCCAGTGTTCAGAAGCACAGTCTGTTGGTGATGGGCCCAACAGAACTGGATGCTGGGTAAGCAAGGTTGGCCTCTGGGCAGGGGAGGGCTGAGTTTTGAGTTCATATTCCTCCACCTCCTCAAGTGACACAGTACTTTGGTTTTTGTTTGTTGTTTTTTTTCTGTCATTCACTAACTTGTTTAGTTTATTGCAAGGTGGTCAGAGACACAAGAAGACCTCACCACATTTATGTTCACACTGGGGAACAGAATTGACTGGTACAAATACAGTGTTAGTTCTGTGGTGAGAGTTCTAATCTTTTTTGGAACTCAGACTTTATGTATTTATTTTTTTCCTATCTTAATGAGAGGTTCTCAGGAGGAAGGCTGGAACCTAGTTGAGGTCGTCTGTAGCTAGGAGCTCAGGTCTGTGGCTATGGGCAGATCTCAGTCTTGATCTCTGGCAGAGACAGTATCAGAGTCTAGAGGGAAATCTCTAGCTTCTGTTTGTCTCTCAGAGAATGAACTGAAACTCTGTATCCATTATCGTTGCATTCCATTTTTCCACAGATTTTTTTTAAGCCCTCCTCCCTTGTGTGCGAATTTTTAAGTTTGAACTCCTATGATACAGGTTAGGTGATGTCATGTTTAACAAAGGACTACTAGAATGTCACCTTTTTTTTTTTAAACTACAAGGTCAAAGATTAGAAATTGCCTAGTGCCTCAAGGCTGCCTTACAGATATACAATTTTATCTCATAATCCTTTATCATATCACATATGTGACAAGCTATTTTATGGAGGTTTAACTGTATGTTGGAGACCTTGATATGGCACTGTAGGATAAGCACTGGACTGTTTACCACAAGGATGGGAGTTTAAACCCACCAGCAGCTTCTTGGAAACCTTTCACAGGGCCACTATGAGTCAGAAATTGTGAAGTATTTCACAATGGTGTGACATATAGTTAACAACAACTCTAAGCCACATCATTGTGACATACTTCACATTTTTCTATTTCTGATTTAGAAATTCCTGATCTGGTTATGAGTTATCATTGCTTTATTATAGCATACGGGTGCAATGCCAATATCTAGAGATTGTTTACCATATTCTATTATTCTATTAGACTCCTGGTGTGGCACTGTAGGATTAGCACTGGACTGTGAACCACAAGGTAGGCAGTTCAAACCTACCAGTCACTTCTCGGAAACCCTATATAGGGTTGCTATGAGTAGGAACTGACTCAACAGTGCTTACCAACAACAACAAAACCTGATTAAGGAGTCCTAGTGTGTTGCAGTGGCTCTGTAGGATAAGCACTGGACTTCGAACCACAAGGTCCACGATTTGAACTATCCAGCTGCTCCACAGGAGAAAGATGTGGCTTTCTGCTCACACAAAGATTTAAAATCTCAGAAACCCTATATCAGGTCCCTATGAGTTGGAACTGACTTAACAATAACAACTAACTGAAAGGTCGGTAGTTTAAACCCAACAGCCACTCCTTGGAGAAAAGACCTTTCACTCTGCTTTCTTATGATTGCAGCCTAGGAAACCTCATGGGGCAGTTCTACTCAGTCAGATACAGTTGCTATGACTTGGAATCCACTTGACAGCGTAAAACAACAAACAGACTGTGAGGCATTGGTGGCTTAATGGTAGAGTTCTCACCTGCCACCCAGGAGACCTGGGTTCAATTCCCAGCCAATGCACCTCCCATCTGTCTGTGGAGGTCTTCACATCATTATGATGTTGACACAGTGTTAGCAACAATAGGCTCAACCATAGCAACGACTGGAAAGATGGTTACAGGATTTGGGCAATGCTTCATTCTGTTGTAGGTAGGGTAGACTCCCTATGAGTCAGAACCAACTCAGTGGCCCTTAGCAAAACAAATGATGTTAAACAGCTTTTAGCTGAGCTTTTAAACTAAGAGACCAGGAAGAAAGGACTGACAATCTGCTTCCAAAAATCAGCCAAAGAAAAACTTTATGGATCATAATGATCTGATCTATAATCAGTCATGAGGTTGACACAAGACGAGGCAGAGTTTCTGTTGTTTATTAGGGGTCAGCATGTGTGGGGTGTTGACTGGATGGCAGATAGCAACAACAACCAAGGGAAGCATGATTGTTATTCTGACATTTTATATTACTTCCCTATTCGTCCACCAACTTAATCTTCTCACAGTCCTTGAAAAGTAGGTGGTATCACCTCATTTTATAGAATCACCTGAGGCTTGCTAAAGTCAGGTTATTTCAGTCAACACCATTCATCTAATACATAGATGAGCTAGTATCTGAACGCGCATCTTCGGATACCAGATCCCGTGTTCTTTCTCCACCCCAAGTTTCAGATCCGTGAGACAGTGCAGAGCCTGCTTCATCTTCCATGTGGGCCTCTGTTTCCCAGCACACTGAGTGCAGCCATATACTTACTTCCTCCTTGCCTGAAGAATCCACTCTGTCTGCTTTGTCTCTGGTCTTGTGTCTGGGCTTGGTCCCAGCTTTTGTCAGGGCCACTGTTTCAGAAATCTTTGACTGTTTTTGAAGTGGACTTTCATTTTCACACCTTTAGTCCCATCCCATCTTCTCTCATCCTTGTGTACACTACCTGCTGGGGTTTCTCCCTTTTGCACTGGGTGATGGAAAGATAGGAGGAATGGGATTAAGACTGCATTTGGATGTACACATCTAGAAGTCTCTGGTGGTTGCAGGTATATTGATTAAGATAAAGGGTAAACTGCCATAGCAGAGAGACACCAGAACATGGCTGAAAGGAGCTGAGAGTTTATTTCTCGTACAATGATCCCAAGGTGAGTGGTCCAGGTGTGGTGTAGTTGCTCAATATCATGAAGTTGCTCCTCCATCCCCTAAGGACATTATTCTCTTCTGTAGGGTCAATGCTGGATTTGTGGTCTGTCCATGTTCCAGCCCAGAGGAAAATGAAAAGGGTGCTGATCTAGGTAAAGCAGGAACTTGTCTTTGAATAAAATAGGAAATGACATTGGAGCTGCTTATCACTTCTGTTCACACTCCTTTGTCCTGAACATGGACACATGACCATACCTGGCTGCAAGGGAGGCTGAGAAAGTCTCTATAGCTGGACAGCTATGTGTTCAGCTACTGCCCACTGCTTGGGAAGAAGGACAGAATGAATTTAGGTGGACGAATTTAATAGGTGTGGCCACAGCCTTTTAAAACAATATTGTTGTTGTTGTTAAGTGCCGTCGAGTCGGTTTCAACCCATAGCGACCCTGTACAGGGTTTCTGAGGGTGTAAATCTTTACGGGAGTAGAAAGCCTCATCTTTCTCCCGCGGAGCAGCTGGTAGTTTCGAACCGCTGACTTTAAGGTTCGCAGCCCGATTTGTAACCACTACACTACCAGAGCTCCGGTAACTATTTTAAAATTTAAAAGATGAATATACATTTTATCTTCTAATGGGGCTGGTATAATAATCTACATCCCATAGGATGGCCGGAAAGCTGAGGATGTGCTTCTGTGTATGGGGAATGCAGGGAGGGTTATTTGCAAGTGAATACTTGCCATAATTTCCCCTCTGGATATTTCTTACTGGCTCCCATGAGGAATGGTTGTATTTAATAGCATTCTTGAGGGAGGAGAGGTAATGTCTCCTTTGGCTCTGCAGAAGAAAAGGAAAGGCTCTGACTCCTCATGCATTAAGAATCGTGGGCAGTTGGTGCTGCTTGGACAAGAGTGTTCATGGCCTTGGCGGCCACCTAGCTATGCGCCTCCCTTAGCAGCACAACTGAGAGTGTGTGGAGACTGGCTGACTCTTTTTGGCTTTCTCTACGGGAGGCTGAGTCACCTTATAGAGTCCTTCGGAAGCAGCTGAGGGCTGTGTAGTTCCGTTCTCTCATTTTTCACAAGAAACCTCATGTGTCCTACCCATGCCTAGTGACCAGCCTGGGAGAACAGCTGGCCCTGCATTCATCTAACTTCTTTGCTTTCACTAGAACCCTATTTCCATATTATCTCATTTCTCCTCCCAGTCTTAGTCTCAGGGCATCTCCCAGTGACATGCTCAAGGTCAGCCAGCTGGTAAGCATCTTATCAAGACTACTGCTGAGCAATGCACACCATTCACGGGACCATATAGACTTGTCTCATGATTCAGCTCCCTGGTTGAAACCACTCTTAAACCCTACTGCCTATAGCAGTTTGTACACATTCATTGGCCTCTCTGTCTTGGTTTAACCTCTGTGTTGTTCAGTTCTGGTGTGGGCCTGCACATTCCATGGAGACCACATAGCTCCATCTTCCACCTTGTGTTTGATGCTCAGCGTCTGACGAAAGGCCACTCTGCTGAGGGTCTGGGATTGTCTTCTGATGTGAGCTGAAGAAAATGCCCTGCAGCCCTCAACTTCCTTTTCACCCATATACTGACTCAACAAGCGTTTTTTGGTGCCTGTTACATATCAGGAAACCTGCTTGACTGCTAAACAAAAGATGGGAGGTTTAGTTTGCCCAGAGATTCTACAGAAAACTCAACCATGGTAAACCCTGTGGAACATAGTTGTTCTCTGTTACACATGAAGTCACTGTGAGTCGGCAGCGATTCTGTGGCACCTGGTACTGGTGGTTGTATGTGGGCTTGGGTGGTGAGCAGAAGGAGGCATGACCTAGCCCTGTGGTTTTGTTAAATTTATTAAATTCTCACCCCTCCAAACTACTAATGGATTGCTAGCCCCAACTTGACTTGCTTTACACCAGTAATGTGATTGCATATGTGTTTTATTCGTAGGTTCACTAGCTCCATTTTAGAGATTAGAGCATTGAGATTCAGAGGGGTTAAGTGACTTGCTCAAAATCACAAGCCACGAACCCTGGTCCCCTGACTCCCAGTACAGAGCTCCTTCCATTGGACTGCTCTGCCTCTCTCTCCCAGGCAACTTCTGGGGCCCTGTACCCCTGAGGAGATGATTGACATTGCTGGATCCAGAGAAGCCCATAGGATGCCCTTCCCTCTTGTTGCAGAGGGTTGGCCCATCAGCCCTAGGACAGCCCATGTAGTGCCCAGGCACTCCACACACCCAGACTCAGCTCCATGCCCATCCTGTGTTGTCCTGTGATTGATGTGAGGGTTCAGTAAGGGACTTGGTAGGAGCCCAGCCTAGTGAGTTACATGTTGGGCTGTAGTTCAAATTCACCAGCTGCTTCATTGGAGAAAGATGAGGCTTTCTGTTCCTGTAAGGATTTTAAAAACCTTGGAAACCCTATACAGAATCCCTGTGCATCAGAACTGAATGGATGGCACTTAACAATAACCAGGAGCTTGGCGGTGGTTTCACTTTCTTGCTTGCGTTCTTTGTTTTTCTTCCAAATTTGGTCAACCTGAAATGGTCCCTGGAGGTGAGCAGTGGAGAGATGAAGGATGGACAGGTGAACAGGTGATGGCTAGGCAATAGGAATGACATATAGAAACCTCGCTTCACCTGTATAGGGTGGAACCAGAACTCCATGTTGAGGTGGGGTGCTTTCTTCCCTCCCCCCTGAATTTGACTCCAGCATTTTGTCAGCCCATTCCATCCACCTACACAGCCAGCGTCATCTCAGCTGTCACCACTGCATGCACAGAACAATGAAAGCTTGTCTAACTTTCCTGGAAGTGGGAGGAGGAAGCCGAGAGTGGGGAACTTGGGGAGGGGGGCAGGGGGACGACTGGATAATTGTTCTCCAAGATGAAATTTTTGCAGGAGAGAAACTTTGCTGCACTCAGATTATAAATAAAGTTCTAGCCCACAAAACTTTATGCCTGGCCGCAAAGCGTATTCTTCCTTATCCCCGAGGTTAGAGAACTGCAAGGGAAGCAATTTGTGGGTGGGCAAGGCCACCCTCCAACTTCTCTAGAAAGTCCTTTTAAGGCACTCCCAGCCAGCCAGCCTCTCTCCTTCACCCCTAACCCCTCTACCTCAACTCATGTCCTTGGTTTGTGTGGAAATTTATTCCCACGCCTTAGAGGGTGGGGTAGGGTGGACCATCGTCTGCCAGAGATCCTGAAGGATTCCGCTTCCTCTGGACTTTCCCGCGAATCTAGTGCAGGTCACATGGGCATTTTGAGTGACTTCCAGGTATGATAGACAGTCTTATAGCTGAAGTTTCTCCACTGCAATGTTGAGCATACCAGAGAACACTTCAGGAGAACTGGAGATAGAATATTTGAAGTCAGGGATGTCCCCGAAGCTCCGGTCATGTCAGGTCAGTCTGTTCTGCCTGAGCAGCCAGAGGCCAGGCTATGGTCAGTTCACGGACTGGCCTAGATGGTTAGAACCTTGGTCATTGCCCATGCATTTCTGATTTTATGAAGAGGACAACAAGTGTTAGCAGAGGAGAAGTGACTTGCCCAGAGCCCAAGTTGTTGTTGTTGTTAGGTGCCATCAAGTCAGTACCGACC